TTTTTTTTTTTTTTTTTTTTTTTTTTTTTTTAACATCGAACAACTTTCAGAGATAACCTTAGCAGAACGTACACCATGATGAAAACAACTTTTAATCATTTTTATCAAACCATTCTTAGGCAATAAGAAAATGCATAATGAAAATGTTAAGAATTTGTTACATTCAGCTTGTTTAAACTAACGATAAAACATGCATCTCTGGAAGAGACCATTCAAATATTTATAGGATCTGTAAAATGACTGTCAAGAATACATTTAACAACAATAAAAACAATGAAATAAACTTTACTGACCTGGCAGTTTCTCTGATGGTTTTGTCTTAGCTCCCGATGCAAGGCTATGATCCTCTCTGGACTTGTTAATTTTACAGGAGAACTGGTGTATATATTTGGAGTGATGTGAGAGCTGTGGATGCCATCTGCCTCTTGCAGAAAGGTTGCAGGTATTGACCACGACATTCTGCTCACTTTGACTGAAGCCTCATGATTCTCTGACTGCCCACTGGCCTCTGAAATGTCTGTGGAAGAAGGCAGCATCTGCAAGACAAAATGCCATCTTTAGAAACTCAGAGATGAAGCTTTCCAGCACTGTTTATTTTGAGTAAGTGGAAGCTGTTTGGATTGCAAGCTGTTTCATTGCAAGAAACATTCACAGAAATCAAATGTAAAGTAATGATATTTATAAGTAGTTAATATACCAATTACTTGAAGTGTGAGGCATTCTTCTTTCTTTCTAAAATGGAATCCTGCATTCCCCAACTCTTCCCCAAGAACTAAAAATTCCAAATTTGCACCTGAATATTTAGAAAAACTAGAAAAAACTAGGAAAAAACCCACTAATTTTAAAGATTTCACAGTTTATCCTCTTCAAGGATTTCAATTTCTATAACATATTTCCTTCACGCATATTATCTTACTCAGCAGCAAATCCAATCCAAGCTTGTCTACTTAAGAATGCTCAAGGAAGTTAAGTTTAATGGATTTTAAAAGTTCAGTTGCACAAACTCTTTGGCACATCCTCTTATTCCATATTTAAATCAACTTAATTGATTTTACTGTACAAAAATAAAACTGACGTCACACTAAGACCGAAAAGTGGCTTGATTGATAATGTACCTTTTCATAATAGTTGCCAACAGGAAGAGAAGATTTCACTGCAAATAAATGACTATCACAAAGAAGTAGAATTTTGTCTTAAATACAAATTTATTAATGAAACCAGATTAATGATACATTCTTTTCCTTGTAGTTGCAAAGAAAATGAATTTACAACTTTTAACAGTATTTTCAGCCCTTTGGTTTTTGCTTGTTTGAATTACTTCCAAAATTAATGCATCTGATTTCAAGTTATCACTTCACTGTCATTAATTCTCTTGCAAAAATTCCAGAAATGCAAATACTATAAATCCAAATCAGGAATTGTTATTTAAGATAAAACACATTTTACTTACAGAAATGTATTGCTTTTTCTCTCTATGTCTTTAATAAGCATTAAGTACATCACTTGTGTCCATTCAAAAACAGACAAACAAAAAAAATAAGGGCTTCTGATGCGTTATAATGATGTAAACTTGTTTTGAAGTGATCCCCCAGATGTAATTATCATTTATTGGCAAGCAAATCCACCAAAATAAAATGCTGTGACAGCGTAAAGGAGAACATACAGTGTGTGAATTGCTGCCATTGCCAAGGAAAGAAGTTTCACCACCTTGCTGAAGTGATAATCATGGAGCTTTACGTGTAATATACAACTTGCAAGGAGGTCAAGAGCTCCAATACCAGGAGCATACAGATGCCAGTGGTGCTGTATTGTGCTATAGCCTAGGTGATGCTCAGGAGACAAGCTAGTCTGACCGGAGAAAGCTCATCACTCTTCTGCCCTGCTTACAAAACAACACTTTTGGCTCTTAGGCTCCCTAAAGCATGTGTCTTGTGGTTCCTAAATACACCAGTGTACTGGTAACCTGGTCACAGAGTCAGGCGTATTAATTGTGCCTGTCCATCTCTGGATCTGGTGTGCTGCAGGACAGAACTATTCCCAGACACAGCACATAAGAGAGTGTGAATGACAAACATAATTGATGGACACTGACTTTGATCCAATTGTACCTTACATTCTTGCCTCCTCATCATAAGAGGGGTGAACCAACACTGAATTCTGGCCATTGATCCCATTAAAATACCAAATGCAATTTGTTTTGCCAGCTGAGATGACAACTAGTCCTTGACAGCAGTCACCACCTGTCTCTTTTACTTCAGGCTGAGCAGCAGGTGAGGCACAGGACAACATCAAGGAACTGAAAGACCACTCACATGGACCGACTTTGCTGCTCCTCCCTAGAGGATTTGCTTTTTCTCTATGCTGATTATACAGACAGTCTGTGATCTGGATAGTGTTTATTTAGGCAGGGTGGCATGAACACCCAATGAAATCATAGCATCAATACCAGTATTGATCAGTTGGAAAGCAAAAGCTATACATTGGATGTTCTCTTGTAAACACTGAAGCCAAAGGAATCTCCAGAAGTCCTTGACTTCTAACCAAAGTTATGAAGGCAGTGACTGTCACCAGCACTCACAAAAAGTGCTGGCTGGCTGAAAGAGGGGTTACAAAAGGCAGCCCTGACATGTTCTGTGGCATGAAGAAATTAGATCTAAAATTATTTGATGACAATTTTCTCACTACAGGAAGCACAGTTAGAGGCACCCTAGTGATAGATGAGACTCAGCAGGAGCAGCACAAGTTAGGGAGTCCAACGACCCGTGCAAAGGCAAATCACTGTCCTCCTCAGTAGGCAGGATTGCTGCTAAAGCTACCAGGAAAAACACATCTGTGTCAAAGCTGTAACAGTCATACATTACATTGCTAGCAAAAAATAATCTTTTTCAAGTCTCTTTCTTATATTTCCCTCAAATATTCAACTCACAAACTCTTTTGAGTTCCAGGATTACTGAATTTTGCAGCAGTCGATGCATCAGGGATCAGCAGAAATGTGGGTTATGAGTTAATGCAAACCCTGATGAGTGGAACTGCTACCACACTGACAAAGTGTTCACAGAAAGGTCAGTATATGAAAACTGGTATGATTCTTTCAAAAACGTTCATCTTTAGCATTTCATAAGGCTTTGTGAAACACTAAAAATCACTTTTTCTCTAACTCTACGGATGTAACCAAGCACTATATATTTATGAATACAAAAATTTCAGATTTTTGTCTCAGTGTCTATGTGTGAATTTCTTTTATTAGATAATTATCACACTTAACATTATTAATTCTATTTTACCTTGATAATTTTTTCTTTCCTTTAGTGTTTCCACAAATTATCCCAGCTGGGAAAAAAATGGAAGTATTGTGACATCCCCCCAAGCTTGGCAGAATCCAAATTTACACTTCAAGTCCTTGAAAGGATCACTTTTTAAAGAACAATAATAAGAAAAAAACTACTCTTTCTCATATTACAAACAGAAAAAGATACTGGTGTCACTGATAGAATAAAGTTTGAGTTACTGTGGATAATTTTAACTGAACATTTTATCTTAATAGAAATTCCAAACAGCTTCACTATTTTAATCATGGCTATTCTACCACTTTTACCACCATGTATTTTCTGTTCTATTTTAATCATGGCTATTCTACCACTTTTACCACCATGTATTTTCTGTTCTATTTTAATCATGGCTATTCTACCACTTTTACCACCATGTATTTTCTGTTCTACTCTACTAGAGCAAAAACCACTGCAAAATTATCCCTTTTATGCATATTGTCAGAAAACAGATCTAAATCTTTGTCAGCCAGACCCAGTTTTACTTAAAAATTGTGCTAACCTTGAGTATGTACCTACTCCTCAGTCACTACAAATTCTTGGGATTTCCTCTCTACAGACATTTACATAATTATTGAATGGCTCTATCAGTCATTCCACTGGAAATGACAGATTGCCCTTAACAGTTTTAAATCCGTATTTTATATCCTTCATTGTTTTAAAATATTTTTGAGGGTCAAAAATAACATTCCTCTGCAATGGATTCTACCCTTCTTTAAGAAAATGACTTAGTAACAACCACTATCATGGCTCTTCTGTCAGCTTGGAATTCCAATCAAATCACCTTGGCTCACCAATAGACTAAAAACTCAGAGTCCCTCACTTTAAGTGTGGGACTTAACTAGCCAAAGCATATCTCTTTCTGACTCTTGTTACAACAGAGAGAAAGTCACTTTTTAGAATTTTCTTACCACTTCTAAGCAGATAAAATGGGCAGGGTAAGCGTTGGTCAGTGCCTCTTTCTTTCCACTAAGTATGGAAAGAAGCAGAGTAACTTCCACAGATGTAGCTGTCTGAACTGCTGGCATCAAATGTGAATTGTATCTCATCCCAGGTGTCAGAAAACCTGATCTCAACACTAATGTACAAATCGTTTCACGGAGAGTGTAAGAGTATTATTATTGCAGGCCTGCTTCCTTCAAATATGATTCACAGGAAAGCAGTAAGTGCCCTCTTGCAAAGAAATATACAGAGAGAACATACATATATAGATCTGTATATATAAATAAAAAACATTGTTCTGCTGAAAAGTACCTCTGAAGAAATCCCCTGATAGAAAGGATGATTAGACCACACTGTTTTGCACATTTATTTCTATTCTGCGAAACACATAATTCACTGCACTGGACACATTCTCTGCCTGGAGCTTTCCATGTATGAGGTTTAAGATGACTTCATGAAAGGCAATAAAAAGCACTACCATTTATCGTTATATTCATTGCACAAATCACCTCTTGGATCTGAGAGAAGGGGGCAAAAAGCCACAATGGCTTCAGATCCACTATGGAAAGAGCATACCAAATCAAGTCAAAGGCTTCCTGTGCAAGAGAAATTGAAGTGATTGAGTACAGCAGCATTATCCATTACAACCATTAGTCATCTGAATGGAGGCTGTTGACATAAAATCAGAACTGGCCGGCTCAGACATTTGTGGGAAAGAATTGAACACACTCCTGTTTCTCCACACACACTCTAGAAGAGAGAAAAAATGCCTGAAAATACTACATAACTGCACAGCCTGGGGTGAGCTCACGTGAAGGGCAAGCCAAGCTCTCTTGCTCCTCTGTGTGGTTCTCCAACATACCAAAAGCAGCATGGAGACAGCTTCGTGTATGAGGCTGTAAAACATGTCAAGTTTGTTTCTTAAAGTGCAAGTAGACAGAAATTCAGAAAAAAAGTGTCGGCTCCTATTTCCTATTTCCTGTTATTAGCTATCTGAAACATCTTCTCTTCCTTTCCACCGTTACCAAGTCAAGCACATCAGCTATTGAAAACTCCAGTCTTAGTCTTTTCTGTTACTGTTTTCTGTCCAGTAAGTAGAAATATATATTATCAGCTGATGAATCTGCCCTATGTGCTTTCCATTGAAAAGGGCAAAGAAATAATAACTGTTAATAATGTCCATTAATTAATCCTACTTCAGCAAGAAAAGTAAGACAACAAGACCTTTCCAATTGAAAAAAATGAACATTTAAAAGAAGATCATGAAAGTGGGATGTGACAAAAGGATGAAAATTGAGATTGTTCATATATTTTGTCTGATGTTGAGCCTATGAGCCCCAACCATGGCACTGTGCTGAGGGCTACATGCATCTTCTAGCGGTTGCTCTTGCCCCTGCCATGTATCACCTCTTTACAGACCACTTTTTAATTTCCAAACACAAAATACAAAGTTTAAATTATTTATATTATATTATTATATATATTATATATATTATATTAAATTATACACCTCCTAGGATGGGGCATCCACAACCTCTCTGGGCAGCCTGTGCTAGCACCTCACTACTCTCTCTGTAAAGAACTTCCCCCTGACATCCAACCTAAATCTTCCCTCCTTCAACTAAAAACCATTTCCCCTAGTCCTGCAGTTATCCAACCTTTCCAAGAGTTGATTCCCCTCCTGTTTGTAGGCTCCCTTTAGGTACTGAAAGGCTGCAATGGGGTCACCGCACAGCCTTCTTTTCTCCAGGCTGAACAAGCCCAGCTCCCTCAGCCTGTCTTTATAGGGGAGGTACTCCAGTCCCCTGATCATCTTTGTGGCTCTCCTCTAGACCCTCTCCAACAGCTGTCTTTTCTGTACTGGGGGCTCCACGCTTAGATGCACTATTCCAGATGGGGCCTCACAAGAGCAGAGTAGAGGGGGTCAACCACTTCCCTGTCCCTGCCAGCCACCCATCTTTTGATGGAGCCCAGGATACCACTTGCCTTCTGAGCAGCAAGGTCACATTGCTAGCTCATGTTAAGTTTTTCATCTATCAAGACCAACAGGTTCTTTTCCACAGGGCTGCTCTCAAGGACCGCTCCTTCCAGTCTGTATGGATGCCTGGGATTCCTCTGGCCCAAGTGCAAAACTCTGCACTTTGCTGTGCTGAACCTTATCAGGTTCAACTGGGCCCACCTTTCAAGCCTCTCAAGGTCCCTCTGAAAGGCATCCCTTCCTTCAACTGTGTCAAAATTTACATTTCACTGTAAATTTCCAGTAAAATGAAGTCACTGGGACAACAGTGATCTACAGTGACTGAGAACACAGCCTCCAATGCTGTAAGTGAGGTGACATATCTAAAGATGTTTGGATTTGCGTGGCACTGCCTTAGTGTTTTAGTATTAGAGATAGCTATTTGGAATTAAAATACTTCTGGAAAACAGAAGAGAATGCCCAACCGTATGCTGTATCCTGAATAAGAAAAAAACTAAATACACTTTTTTCTTTAGTCTTTAGTAACATGTTGACTTTCATAAGTCCTCTACTGAAGCCACACCATCCTCACACACAACTAGGACAGACTGATCCTATCTTCATAAATTTATACAGTTGGTTATAAAAAATAATAATAATAACATGAAAATTTGTTTGAGAAACAGGCACATAATTTTTTACTTAACTATGCAAGACCTGGCACTGAATTGAATGTAGTCCTTCAAAGGGCTCCTGGATCAACACTCAGAATCATAGAATGGGCTGGGTTGAAAAGGACCACAATGATCATAGAGTTTCAACCACCCTGCTTTGTGCAGGGTCACCAACCACCAGACCAGGCTTCCCAGAGCCACATCCAGCCTGGCCTTGAATGCCTCCAGGGATGGAGCATCCACAACCTCCTTGGGCAACCTGTTCCAGTGTATCACCACCCTCTGAGTGAAAAACTTTACTTCCTCCTAATATCTAACCTAAACCTCCTGTCTCAGTTTAAAGCCATTCCCCCTTGTCCTATCACTATCCACCCTTGTAAACAGTTGTTCTCCTTCCTGTTTGTACACTCCCTTCAAGTACTGGAAGGCCACAATGAGGTCTCCCCAGAGCCTTCTCTTCTCCAAGCTAAACAAGCCCAGTTCCCTCAACCTTTCCTCATAGGAGAGGTGCTCCAGCCCTCTGATCATCTTAGTGGCCCTCCTCTGGACCCGCTCCAAGAGTTCCACATCCTTCCTGTACTGGGGACTCCAGGCCTGGACGCAGTACTCCAGATGGGGCCTCACAAGAGCCAAGTAGAGGAGGACAATCACCTCTCTCTCCCTGATTGCCACCTTTATATATCCTTGCAAACTTTCAGTTGAAATCCATCATTAAGCTAAAGCAAGTAAGTCTGACATCAATATGTAACAGACTTCCATTTGTCACTGGATCCAGAAATGAATAAAGCCAAGTGCAAATCTGTATGTCAAGAAGGAAGAAAAAAAACACATCCACCAAATTTTCTCTGTAAGTATTCAAGTGCTAGGAAAGATTTAGAAGTTAAAATCTCAGGGGATGAAAAAGAATGAACTTTCAAAGGAGTTTTATGTCAGTAGAAGCTGGGAATCTTAGATGTGAATAGCAGTGAGAATAAGAGTTGAGATGAAAAACGTAACTCTTAAAGATGAAAGTTCAGTTCAGTTTAATACATGTCTGTAGGTCCACACAGTCCACACAGAACTGTGAATATGAAACATTCACTTCTCTTTGTGATTGCAACTACTTATATATATATTAAACTTGTAGAAGGGCCAATTGGATATTTTCTCACTACAATGTTTTCCATAGGAAAACTTATTCATGAAAACCTATTTTTTTTCATGGGAACAGAAAAATCTGCCTTGGCAGGAAGGTTTTCTTCTCTTACATATGGGAATTACTTTCCACAGCCAGCTGAAACATCTGGTCCCAGAATGGTCTGAAGCTTAGCGTCATGTTGCTCAGCAAGAGCCAGGCTGTCTTTAGCAAGATTCAGAAAGCAGGTGTGAATCCCCATGTCCCCAAGACCTGGTGGAACTTTTGGACAATACAGCACTGGATACCATGTGAAGAGATTTATGCTCTCCTTGGTGAATAGCTAAATGTCTGCTGAAGCAAGCAATTGAATTTGGAGCTCCTACCTCCCAAATTAACCCATTAGCCATCCAGAGAACAATTTAGTTTAATGCTATTCTGTTAAGAGCTGTTTTGTGACAATTAGGCATTCAGGGAGACAGACTAAGTGTGCCTTACTATATGTTCATTCATCACAGCAGTGTTTGAGAAAACATCTGAAGATAGTGAAGTATTTTCTACATTTCTGACAGAAGAGTTACTAACTCCGCCACACAAAACACTCATTCTTAGTGTGAGCTTAGGTAAGACAGTGTTGGGACGTGTCTTGAAACACTTGCAGGAACATAGCTATGCACTATAGCTATATATATAAATCTAGTCTTATCCAGACTGTTATTTTTTTTTTCTTTCCTTTTAATTTATTCTTCAATAATGCATCTCAGATCTCTCAGGAATAAAATGCAAAAATACTATTAAAACTCAAATTGTATCAGTTATCTTGCATTATCTACTAGGTCTTCAAAGTATTAGCTAAAAGTTTTTTGCATGGAGCACAGACGTGATGAGCTCCAGAATATTTAAACCATGACTAAAATTGCAGTTAAGCAACCCAGTCTGCTGCTTGGTCTGAAGCAATATTAAGAGCCCAGAGATATTTTATAACTGTTCACTGAGTCTCACTAAACACTTCACAAAAAATCACTGACAAAACAGCAATAGAAACCAGAGGATCCTGCAAGGACATGCAGATGCTTACCTCTTGATTACATGTTGTTGTAAAAGTGTCTATGTACTCTGCAAGGGCAACGTCGTTCACCAAGCTCCTCACTTCTTCATCAAACTTGTAGTTGTTAAATCCTCTACGGTGAAACTCACCATGCATCCTGATAATGAAGCTGTTCCTTTCCTGGCATTTTCTGGTCAGGCAAGCCAACTTAGCCTATGCAGAATAAACACATAAACAGTGATCTTGTTCCTTGTTCAGACTGAAAAATTATATTCTGAGTCTGGTGAAATTCCACACCTTTCGACCCAAAACTGCGCACTGTAGTCCTATACTTCTAGGTCTTCCAGGTGCTTCTGCATCCTGCAACAGCAATATGTACATACAGATAAACTGAAAATAGGCATTCACTTTTCTATCTGTGAAAACCCACTTTTGCAAGCTATAATAACAGCCAACCTCACCTAAACCACTGGAGCAAACAACTCAGTTAGGAGGAACTGCAGAAAGCAGCTACAAAGAGAGAAGATACAAGATGCTGAAAACAAGAGCAAGCCTGCAAACACAGGGATACCCCTTTGCATCAGCCTTCAAGATCATATCTTACCTTTAGAGGAGCTAGTGTCAACATTGCTTCAGACTTTCTCTTCTGGAGTTCTTTTGTCTGAAAGGTAGAAAAACATACCATGTTAATATTTTCACTTAGAAATATTGCAGTAGTTTTTGGATATTTGTTTTAGACTCGACTTCTGAAGCATATACTTCACACAACTGCATGACCTTGTATCACAAACACCCTGCAGTAATGTAAGGAGTTGTTTGTACACTGATAAGCCCTAGCATTGATGTTGGACTCATGTATTACCAAGTGCTTTCGGATGCTTTTAAATGGAACCCTATATCATCAAAGCCACATCACATTAAAGACTTGATACCATTCATTATGCATTCATACTCCCATTTGATCTGTGAATCCTCCAAAATACTCTTTTGGGGGAAAGTTTTCTCCTTTCTTATTTATATTATGTTGTAGAGAGCAAGAAACACAGGGAGATTTCCAGCACATTCATTCCATGGCAGGCTTTCATAAGTAAACATCAACAATTTTCTGCTTTGAAATGATGGATACATTTCCCCTAGTATGAGGTGAGGCAGATGACCTGATTTGTACTTCATGATAAAAATGCTTACTATTTACGAGAAACCTGCTTTCTGAGAATACAGAAAATGTATTATAGTCTGTCAGGTAAAATCTCTTTCTACTATAAATGAATACAGTAATATTTGGAAAAAAAAAAAAAAAAAGAAAAAAAGAAAAAAAGAAAGAAAAAAGAAAAAAAAGAACAGATTCCTTTGAATTCATTTTGTTTGGTTATTTGTATTTCTATGAAGCCCACAGTAAATATATAATGTGCATTAAAAAGAAAAAAAGAAAAAAGAAAAAAGAAAGAAAAATATTCCCTTTATAAGAACTCAATCACACTGAAAGAGGTCACCCAGCTTTAGCCAATAAATTATGGACTTGGGAAGGAGCACAGTGGATAGGACAGAGAGATGCCCTTACATTACACTTGTACTGAGGGAACAAAGGAAAAGCTGGCAGTCGGTCTCTTCACTGTTGACACTAAATTCTTGATGAGGCATGGAACAAAACACTTTGCTGATGCAACAGAGCAATTAGGAGCTGCCCACTTATGTGGATAGCACGTCTCATCCTTTGCTCACCTACCATCTGATATGCACCATCCATCAATGCAGACAGCAGATACTATAAAACAAATTCATTTTACTAGCACTATTCTGTTGAGAAGCAGCCTAATCAACTCCTGAGAGAGGCCACTAGTTTTCCATGCAGTGTTCTTTAAAGTAAATCACAGCACATAACAAGGCAGTGGATTTACTGTGGAGGAAGGAGAACGAAATTCACACTCTGCAGGAAGAAAATTCTTTGTCTCCTGTATTTCAGAGAAAAGACAGAGAAGAAGCACATCCCATGTGCTCTCTGCAGGGCACAACTGAGAAAACTCTGTTTACTAGTAGTTTCACAGCACAATGGACAATTCCAATTTGGCTTGCATTATAACAGTCATCATTAAAAAAAAAAAAAAAAAAAAAAATGGTTCCAAAGAAATAGAAAATAAAATCTAAGGAAAAAAAAGCCTTAACAGAAATTTATTCATTTGTCAGAGATCATCTAAAAGATCACTGATTATAGTCACACTGACAGCAGTTTGAATATAAGGCAACAGCTCTGCAAGGGTTAATGAGTGTGTCTGCTCTGGTGTGCCTGCTGAAATACAGTGTGCAGACCTAGAAACTGAAATATAGTGTGCAGACCTAGAAACTGTTAATGTAAGTAGACCTGCATGTACATTGAAGCTTTTCAACAGAATAATAGTGTCAATTTAAAAAAAAAAAATCTACACCACGCATACAACTGAATCTCTAAATATGTAACCCTAACTGCTGGATAAAAAAAAAAGGCACAAAATTCTGGTGCAACAAGGCAGCTGGGAATGTTACAAATTCTAACAACGTAAGCCAAGGAGGTGGCTCGGTAAGAAAACTCAGCACTTTTCTTGGATTATGATATGGGGATTACAGAAGAGACTGGTGGCAAGTTTTTATTATAGAGAGACTATCATCTTTCCATAATGTTGACCACCCAGGCAGTTTACATCTTTTCCTATTTCTCTGAAGTCAGGGGGAATTTGATATGCCTGTAAACCACTTAATTATCCCCAGACCCATTCCCAGGGAAAAAAAGAACAGAAAAAAAAGACTACTTTGGCTCCTTCTTTTGGGAAGAAAGAAGTAGAATCTGAAGTCTGAGCCCACATCAGTCCACCCATTCAAGCACACAGACATCAGCTTGCTTATACCTTTTCACACAGCTGAGCCTGAAGAAGTTCCACTCTATTTTCCAAGTTGTGAAACTGATTTTGTAATGCAGTCTGGTCCCTGAGCTGGGCTTTCAAGGTCAGTATTTGCTGCTGTAATCTCTTATTGGATATTTTATTTTCCTCCATTTCCTGGGCATCTTTCATGGTGTACATCGGCTAGAGAGCAAACACAGAATTTCAGATTAGATGTAGAAAATAAAATATTTTGAATCATGCTTTCGAGCAACGTATCTACATTTTAACTCAATTTTTTTAAGCTAATACAAAATGTATGATTTCAAATCTTTATGAACATAGGAGAACTAGTATCTTGCAAAAATCTTAGAATTAATTACGAGCAAGGAGTTCTTGATTCCCTCTGAAAATAGGTATAGAACTGGGATTTCACAAAGTTCCTTCAAGGTAAGTATTGTATTATAATCATTTCATACATGGGGAAACTGGGGCACAGAGAAATTAAGTGACTAACCTAAGGTCACACAGTTAGTGAGGACAGAATTCAAAAGTCCCCAGTCTCCTGCTCTAACTGCTATATAATACACCCCTTGGTTTGCACATGTGTTCTTCTCAGAGAGTAAATGGCATGTTTTCAGTTATCTTTTATTTTGGAAGATAATTAATAAAACTAATTTGATTTTAAGTGCACATTTTAAAAAAAATTAAAAATAAACTATTGCTTTCAAATGATAATGGTACAGAACAAGGGGAAGGAAGAGCTTCTGAATTTAATTCCTCCTTCCCCACTCTCAATAGTCTCCATTTCTTTATTTATTTTTTCAGTTTCATGCAGTTAGATTGAACACATTGGACAGTGTTTTATATCTGTGGTCAGCATCATGAGATCAGTTCCAGAAATTATAGTATCAGATTAAACAGTGTGAGAACGATGAAGATCTAAGAGTAAAGACAGTTTTGTGAATAATGCCTGTGCTATTGTGAATTTACATTTAAAAATATTGAGTTGATACAACTGTTCAAGTCTTCATGTAATGTCACATATGCAAGTCTAAAGAGATTGAGCATTTCTGAGATTATGCTAAGAATCCTAGGCAGATCTCTAATAAGCCCATAAACTTTCTTACAAAACACTCACTCAGGAAGATGGTTTGATTTTCATGGATGTTAACAACAAAGCAGCTGAAAGAAGAGCTAATGTTCAGCTATTGTGCACAGCAGTGCAGTAATTCTCCCTGGCTTAGTGACCATCTTTCCAACTTGGACACCTTTGGTGACTACAAGATACCAAAGGTACCATTCCAAAGAATACAGAAAACTGAAGAGAGATCACATCATTCTGTCTGCAACTCATTGTTGCAGTACAGGCAAAACCACAAATACGGTATTTTCATACTCTTCCTAATCAAGTGAGTTTTCCATGTGCAGCATTCTAGTCATTTGCACTTGCTTTTTATCAAATTCTTGGCTCCCTCTTGTGTTAAGAGAATAGAACCATAGTGACTGTTGGACAAATCAAGGATCAGGTTTTTTTTTCATCTTCTCTCCCACAGAAAAAAAGCATGTTAAATCAGAAATGGAAACACTCTCTGACTGAAGATGCTTAACGGAAAAAGAAGTGGTAAAAAAAATGCTTGAAGGTTAAAGGCAGAGAAGGTTTACCTCCTTCCTTCTGCATTTTGCTGTCACACTGGCAGTTTTATTTTCAAAAGCACAAATGAGCACACAAAAATGATGTAAGGTTATGACGTCCTAGTTTACAGTAACTGCTGTTCAAGCTCCAAAACGGTCACAAATGCAGAAACTGAGAAATAACTGAAGAATGACTAAGCCCCAATCTTAACTTAACTTATGTAGTATGCACGTCATTCAAAAATCTTGTGTTCTTTTCCAAAGCTGCAAGTAATATTCTGCTTCTTCTTTCCTGCTCACCCACATAGTTCTCCCAACTACTACTATAGAATGGTTCAGAAAAACACAAGAGCAGCCTAGAAAATTTTCCCAAGTAAACTTATGCTAAATGATGCTTTCTCTGTTAGCAACACCAAGCAAGAAGTCCCAGCAGTAACTTTGAGATATAATACCTGCACAAAAAAACTTAGATCATTAAGGATTTCACACAAACAGATTGATGTTTATTAAAAAGTTTATTTTAAAAGAAAGTGAAAAAAAAAGTTTTAATATTTCTTAAAATATGTCTAATTTCTATCTATATCAATATTTGCTTAATTTTGCCAATAAGATCTACATCCTTTGGTGAAGATATAATGGACTTAAGTCATACAGATAATTAGTTGATCCATCAGATAGCGTATCTGAAGGATAAACTCATATCTCTGATGTACATTTGCTACAACTTTGACCCTAGAATGAGATATGCATGTATTTTAAAAATTTATATTAATCCCACAACAAAGATTTAAACTAGACAAAGAAGTAAGAGGCAAGTCAAACAACACTGCAAACCTTCCACTATGGGCAATCTCATTAATTCACCTGAAAATCCATTTGTCAGAGAATTATTCTGGCTATATAGGGAAAGTTCTAAAAAAAAAATAGAGCTGTCTAAAATGCCCGTGCAGAACCGAAACATTGGATTATCCAGTAAGAGAGATGGTCAGCCTAGCATAATACCTCGTTACTTTCAAGTTTACATCTGCACTGGCTGTAAGTCTGCATCAAATCTATTGCCAATAACATTAATAGATGTCTCAACACCTGTACACAGGAATATGGCTTTTCTTCATTACATTTACATACGTACCATTAATTTGCAGTGCTGCTTTCCAAGAGTTTTCTCTTCAGCTTCTTGTTTAAGACAGTCTAATTCTGAGAGAACATGTGTTAAATAAGTCTTGATTTCTTCATATCTGGTTTCAGCAAAGCCAAGTTCCCTGTACCATTTCTGAGCCTAATGGTAAGGTTAAAAAGCAAAATTACTGAGTGAGGTTAGTTTAGCAGAGATACTGTTTCTCAGCGTTGGCTTACAAGCATGGACTTGAACATAATCTCCAAGTTTTAAATTGCTAGAGCTATGATGAGATTAAATTTTTAGGCTGATTTCTAAATTTGAAGTTACCTTGAATGCTCTGAATGAAGCTTAAAATAAAACAGTCTGAAAGCCACCAGAGGAGAATAAGTGGCAAAAAAAAAAAAAAATCCTCAAAAATGTCAAAATGAAAAATGTAGCGGAAGAAATAAAAACCTGTACATTTATGTTTATATTACTTCTGAGATTTATTTTCCCTACTTCCACTACCAATTAACTGCCATTTTGAAACAAACAAACACATTCAGTAGATCATTGACCGCACGATTCTTTCTTCGTTATTTCTTCCTTCTGAAATCAAAGGTTTCACATTCTTTTAAGTTAACAAAATAAGTTGTTGTAACACCCAAAGGATTAGAAGGGACTAAATTAATCAGACATTTTAAAATAAGTAAAAATCAAACGATACATTTACACATAAACTCCAAGGGACTGGAGTCTGTCCCTCCATCACTCAATCCCAATCCATCCCTGTACTGCAGTTGCCTCATTTTAATTCAGGGAGGTTTTACACAGTGGTTGTCAAAGGACTGCCATCTCATACATCCACAGTGTGCAATCATACTACTTCTTTACACACCCAGTATAACATTTGTTATTGTTGATGTTTTTCCACAGACAGTCTGCATGATGCTTGTTACTCGGTGAAACAGCCCCGTAAATTCAAGCATGCCATAAAGCAGTACTGTTAAGATAAACAGGACATGGAGATTGTGAAATAAAAATAGGAATATTAAAGCTAAAGTGTTAGGAAAGGCACAACACAGAAAAAGCTTAGCTTTCTCTGTTGCTATTAAAACCACAGATTTGCTGTACAGAGGCACAGAACTTGCTCTCCATTCAAAGAATTCCCATGGAAATGGTTATTATTACATACATGTCAAGAGATGAGGAAGTGCACATACTTTGCACTATCACTTGGTATAGCAAAACCACTTGGCAGAGTCAGATTTTACGCCCCTTCTTCCCTTATTCAAAAATTACTCTGAAATCAGATTCACCATTATCCTCAGGCGAGGATACTTCTTACTCTTCATTCCCAATGAGGGGGAGAGAGGCCAGAGCTGGCTACAGCAGATATTTTGTTTGGAGTGTCTTTATTAAGCCCTCAGTTTCTGTTGAAGCATGCTGAAGGACAGCAGCTTCACCCAAAATTCTGTCCAAACAAACAAACAAACAAACAAACAAAAAAAACTATGCAATTCATCTCTTAGCTAAAAGATCTTGGTTCTGCAAATCAGAGACTTCCCATTTAGTAAAAACATTAAGCACTGGCAGAAAAAAGCAGCCATGTAAGAAAACAAAGAAGAAAACAAATTTGCTCTTCAGAACTGCATCAAAGACAAGCTTACCTCTTTTTTTGATTTTTCTAATTCTTTTTGCTGTGCTTTTAATTCCTCTTTTGACCTTTCCACTTGCTCTTTCATCGCACTGTAGCTTTCAGATCTCCTGCCCTGGAACAAGTGGAGAAACAGAAAGACATGACTCTTCCCACCTACACACAAGTGTTTACATATATTTTAGTGAAAAATATAGTTTTCTTTTATCTGAATTACAACAAATACTTGCATAAAATCAGAATAGTAGAGATAAATCTTTCCCTGTTGATTATTCTCAACTGAAGCAATAATTCAGCTATTACAAGAACATTGTAATTTCCATAGAATTTCACTGTAAGATTCACAATTGCAGAAGAGAAATACAGATGAGAAACTGAATATAATTAAAGATCTTGTCTCTGAGTATACATTTCACAAAAACCAGAACAGATAAAAAAATAAACCCTATCAGAATAAAAGTTAGTAAATGAACATGTTCATATTTCTTCCTTTCTTTCTATCCTGCTTGATAACTTTCATTATTTTTAATATTTACCTCTTTGCTGTAAAAATAGCTGGACGGGTCTCTTCTATCTTCTTCAGTCTGAGTTACACCACATGCTGTTTCAACTTTCCTTGGCCTAGCACCATAATGTTGAGTTTTATTTTCTTCTTTTATTTTTACTATCTTTTCCTTTGTTCCCAAACTTTTTTCTTTCCTCAGATCTTCATAGGAGAAACCCAAAGAATACATCAATTCTTTCAATTTGTTATTTTCTAAAATGAAGTCAGCATTTGCTTTCTGAAACTCACCAAGTTGTTCTGCATTTTCTTTTTTAATTTGTTCTATAGCTCTTTTCAGGACACATTTTTCCTCCTGTAAGTCAGAAATAGTCTGATAACAGCTAGTTTTGCACTCCTGAAGTTCTGAGACCAAGGCCCGGTATTTATCCTGTTCACATTTTATTTCTGCCAAACTTCCCAATAAATTTTCTTTTTCACCTTCTAAAAGAGATATTCTTTTTAAGTTTCCCTCTCTCTCTTGCATTAATTCATTATATTTTGCTACATAATTTTCCTTGTCTTGTAATAATTTAGCTATTTCTTTGAAGCATTGTCTTCTTTCTTCTTTCAGGTCAGAAAGTAGCTGAAAATATCCAATTTTCTTTCCATCTAGAGGTAAAACACTCTTAGGAAGTTTATTTAATTCAATTGTTAATGAGTCTTTCCCCAAATTCCTACTTTTCTCATCAATGTAAGAGAGATTCTTAGAGATGGTTTTAGCAAAAATCGTTCCTGAAGTCTTGGTATTTCCTTCTGACACATTATAACATTTACCAACAATTTCATTCTCATTGAGTAAATTTTGAAAGAAAACATTGTTATCATCAACTTCTAAAGCGTACTGAAAATATGCATTCATGTCCTCTTCCAGTGCACACATCTTCTGAACACATCTCTCGTTCTCCTCTTGTAATACACAGACCTTTTTAAAGTAGTTTTCATTCTCTTGCATCAGTAGAAATATCTTCTGGGAACACATTGCCACTAATTTTTCCAATTCATATGTTTTCATATTACGCTCATGAACCGCTGCTGGTTGTGACAGGTGGAAGAAATACTCAGAAAAATTGTTCTCTGGCACGAAGTGTTTGCTTAAGCACATGGACCTCTTCTGCATAGGAGACAATATGTTTAGTGGATAACCCTCTTCCTCTGACCAAGAGCATTTCTGAGAGTATGTACACTGCATGTCTTCGGCAGCAATTTCCTGACGTGAGAAATACTTCTCATTTGATTCATGTAGTTTCAGGGACTGGACTTTTTTTCCTTTCAGTCCAGTATTTCTTGAAAGGTTTATTTGGTGAGTTGCTTTCTGAGATTTCTTCTCTTCCTCTCCCATTTTTATCATGTCTCCATCTTTGCACACCCTCGACACATCAGATATGCAGATTTCTGAGAGTCTTCCTTGTTTCTCCACTTGTTCAGGACTCTCTCTGAAATGCAACTGAAAGTCTTTCACATCAACAGATATTTTGTGGACACCTTGTGGAGTACCTCGTTTGCCTTTGACTTCAATTCCTTGATTCTCAGGCTTTGTCAAACCTCTCTTATTTAAAACATTAGAATTTTCCCCAAAAACAGAGGTTACCTGTTGCACTTGAGATTTCTCAGTCTGTATTTCTTCTCCTTTAATTCTCAATCTAAAGATTTTTTGGTGATATTTTCTATCACAAACACTTTTATCTGAACTTTTATTCTTACTTATGCTTTTTGGTAGAATTATTTCCTTTTGCTGATGTTTTTCCACTCTGTATTTTTGAAGAGAGGATGCAAAATTTTCCATCACAGAGCATGGAATATTTCCGCAAAGAGCTGTAAGAGCTTTATCAGAAAAACCTTCTTCTGTAACAACACACAGACCATCCAAGCAAAGACTGGTATTTGCCACACTGAAATCCAAACTCCTCACTTTCTTCACTGTTGTGACAGCCTCTACCCTGTAGCTTTCTGGATTTAACAAGATAATGTTGGGTTTGCTTCTCATCAAATCTTCAACCACAGAAACAGGGAACATTTTTGCTGGTAGAAGTATAGCTTGTTCTTTCACGAAAGAAAAGCATTCTTCATCTTTGTTTCCTTTGCTTGTTTCACCATTAGTTACTTTTTCAGAGCAAGGTGGAAGCAGGCTTGCGGCAGAATAGCTTGGGGTACATCTAAACAAAGTGAAACTGTCTTCTGAAGCACCTGTACTTTTTGTTCCTAGGGTGACCTGATAATTGCAAAGGAGATATGTTTCAAACTGAAAAATATAAACCAATGGAAATAATATTTGATTATGGACAAATGAGAAAAACATTGCCGCATGAAGTTTTCAAATAAATTAAGGATTTGAAATAGAATAAAGGTAAAATAAGAAGGTACAAATAGTCAATCATTTTCTTACAGCACATTATTCACCTTGAACAACAACTTAACTAGATAGGATTTCAAATGTTTTTATGTTTGTCTTTAATTACACTAACTCTTCTTAACTCAAAATTCACAGATTCACTGTGCCCGCAAAGATGAGAATAGCAGGAACTTCTAACCAATTTGATCTGAGCTAAACTGAGTTCTTCAGCAGCATCTTCAAGGATGTTGGAATTGTGCTCTGAAACAGGCAGCAGTTCTTCTCGTAGCCTTTCTGTCTGTTTAGGCCCATCACAGCTGTATCCTGGTGTTTCTGTTATGATAAAGCACAAGGTAAGTGTAATGGTATTCACAGGCAGTTACATGAAAAACAAACCCCCCATATTTCTGACCAGATGATTTGAATGGAAAGCATTTTGGTAAGAATACGCTCCAAACTACCTTCTCTAGCAGAAGGGCATACCATGAGTGATACAGAGACAAAGATGGCATTATGCAAGAAAACATATTTCATAAGACAAGTATTAAGCTCTAAATTAAGGTATATTTGGAGATTGTTCCCCCATCTTAAAGCCTTTAAAAATGAAACAAGCATCTCATTACATTGAGTAGAGGAATACTTATGTGTTAAACATAAAGGTTAAACCTAAGGGTTAAAATATTTGGTGTAGGTCTGTACTTGCATAAACTGAAATTCATCATAAAGCCCACATTAATTTTAGTCAGAAAATTAACTAGATACAATTTGCCAAGATCAGAGCTTTTATGTAATGTTTAGTCTAAAAAATAAATCTGACAGCTGCACAGTGTTCCCAAACACTACATTTCAGTCTAAACTTGAAAAGTATCGCCTAACTTCTCAGCCTCTTGGCAGCTGCAGGATTTATTGAGAAAGCTCACATCTAAATCCTCACATCATACAAGTGAATAATTATTCTTCCACATTCTTAAGATACTATTTCCAGATGAGAAGGCTTTTGGAGCTATTTTACCTTCTAAGTCAAGCACACCACAAGAAAGAAGTAATCTTCACTTTTGCTGCGCAGAAATGAAATGAAATAAAAAAGTGCAGCTCATTTTCATACCATACTCCATGGCATGCAGCAGCACAAATGAAGTTTGAGCAGCTCTGCTTCTCTGTTGATCTGAGATTGCTCCCCTTTTCTGGTTTTGAACATCTTGCTGGTGTAGGTCTCTGTTCTTAATGAGAAAAAGGGGAAGAAATAAAAACCAGATTATAAATACACCATTGCTGATATGAAGGCACACAAGCACACAACTTTTCTTTGCTATTTTCTATTAACATTCAATAGACCAATTATTTCATCATAATTGCTACTATTCTATATACTTTTCTCATTCCAACATTTTCTAGTAAATATCATGCTTGTTAGATTTTACCCTCACATCTCCTTGAGACTCTACAGCTACTTGAGGAAGAATATCTCAGTAGTAAGTATGCACAATATGTTGGAGCACAGAACACTAGCAAGGCAGAATCTAATCAATACGTTGTCCATTAACAAAGGGAAAGAGATTAACAGTTCTATGCCCAGCACTGTGCAGACTATGAAGACAAATGTTTCTATATTGGAATAGCTCTTCAGAAAAGGTAGAATAGTTGTTTGGAAAAAAAATTGTCTTCAGTCAGTGATTTAATTATAAAATTCAGATTCTCTTCTCAAAATCTGTCTTCAGTATCAGATTGAATTTGGGTGCAAGGACAATTTCTGGTGCAAAGCAGATACCCTTAATGTCTGATACACTGCAGATCATGTTTCACATGTGCCATGCTTATTCTTAGTGAATAATCCGATTTGATTTCCTTGACAAAAAACATAATTGAGGCTGTAGCCAAAGCAGCAACAGAACAGAAACCAAGACAACAGAGTCATTTTTGTCTTCCCACAGTGCTTTGCATCAAATGCCAGCTGAAAAAAAAACCTCAGCAGATCAGGACTGAGCTGCAGCTTTATAGTTACACACAGATGGAAAAAGCAGCAACTTCAAAATGAGTCTGCAAATGCCACTTGGTTTTCCTCTCAATAATCAATGAGCATAATTTTGATTTCAACCCAAGCCATATCCTGCGTTATTGTGCCCTCTTATATCTTGTCTGGGTGGCATGATTTGTGTGGAAACCACAATAATTCCGGATTTCTTCCATCTTTTTCTCAGTGATAATGAAGCTTATGTTAATTCCTTGGAAAACACTCATTCTTCTCATGCAAGTTTGCCTCTATTTCTTCCCAAATATATTTTCTTTAGCAATATGGGGGTTCTAGCAGAAGACTGTTATTTAAAATAATGGAAAAGACACAATGCTTGGATGCCTGAAACACCACAAAAATCACTCCAACTCTCATCTGAGAGCTGTAGAGAAGTGCATGGCTCGGTGTTTCTTAACATTCCTTCACTAAGATCTTGAATAGACCTCTAATGTGAATGTCCAGAAATTTTCTGATAAATAAAGACATTGGTACATGGTACTAGCTACTTTTTTGGGCATTTTTCATACAGGCATAAGCTGCAGTTGGAACACAGACAAAAAAACAGACAAGATTCTGGAAATTAAATTTTCTTATGAGATTTATGTGACTGTACTCCTCCATGAGATTCAGTTCACATCCATGGTACCAGATCAAAACACCTAATTGAGTTAAATATTAGTGCATTAATATACAATAATGATCAGGGAATAATTTTCAAGTATTGTTGATGAGCTTGTCATTTGATACAATATTTACTGAGGAATCTCAGATCTTTTGTATTTCATATGGGTTCTGATAAGCCTGTCTTCACAAAATACATTTTTCCTAGCTGCAGAATGGACATATGATCCTACTCACTCTTTCAGTGAAAAATGATGTATCAGAAACGTTCCAGAAAAAAAGCAGCATGAAACTTTCTCTTGTTATGCATATAACTCCCAATTTTTAAAGCTGGTGATGGAATATGATGAGCTTAAATAGGATTTCTTTTTATGTAACTATTTTGGCTTGAATACTGCAAGACCAGTGTAATGAGATTAGGAAATTTTATTAACAGCAACTAAAATGAATCTGAGTCTAAGGCAAAAAAAAATATATACCTCTTCAGTTTTACTATACAACACCAGAGGTCTCCCTCATCCCTTTAGAACAGAAATTGAATTTTTTTTCCAGACTGTTTGAGAGCAAAATTTTCTACTGGAAAAATCCAGGTGAATCTGTAATAGTACTGAAAGCAAAGGAAAATGCAGTGCACAAGGCTTGATGCTGTGTAACACAACAAGGAACAAGGGTTTTTGTGCATCAGAACAAAATACACTGGCTTAATATATACTTTGGCATGCTTGTGTAAACCATAGACTACCTAAATTCCTAAGACAACACAGCCATACATTTATAGTTGGAAAAGAAATGGTTAGAAAGCTTGGTGAAGGAAAAAAACCTTTTCACCATAGTACAGAATAGAATGATGGAGACATGGCCCCGTTTCTCAAAGACATTCTGCATTAGTCTTGGGCAATTGGTCATCTCGCCCTCACACCTCCAATTCAATATTTACTTTTTCCCTTTCTCAGATTTTTGAAAGTAATTCTTCACTACTTATTTTCTGGCTCTGAAAGCCACCATCCCCCCTGGTTTTAGCTGGGCAGTTCCCTCACAGTGCACTTGGTTGTGGTTCCTGTGTACAACTCAGTGCAACTCCTTCTAAATACATCTTAAGATAGGGACATTTTCAAACCTTCATTCTTAAGTGAACTCACTAGGGTAAAGCACCTGTAGCAATGGTTCAGACTTATAAAAACAAGTACACTTCCAAGTCCTTCTGCCAACCTAGGAGAAAAGGAGCTAAGGAGAAAAATGGCAACATATCTTCTAAGCTATCCTCAGAGTTCACACATGCTGCCAGTTCCAGAAGGATCTTAACATTCTTCCTCTCACTTGATTGTGACTAAAGAGTTAGAAATGGAGCCAAATCACTATGTCTGTAAAGATGCATTCAAATACCAGGTTAAAAACTTCATCTTGATTTCTTTTTAAACTTTTAAGCAGACAGCCCTCTCTACCTTCTCCCAGTCCTGAAAGTACTCACAGTATGTTTGTTCTCCTACACTAAAGAGGTTTTGTTTGTGTTTGTTACCTCCAGATAACTGCACATAATATCAGGAGAGTTTTAAGAATATCAGGTCACAATCTGAATGGGTAGCTGAGAATGAGGCTGAACTGATTTCACTTTATTTAACAAGTCCTCAGAATAAAAATACCACCTATCCCAGTGCATAAATAATAAAACCTTGTTTGTGTCTTCTCCATGAAACTATTCATTGTCAGCAAAATGAATTGGCAGAAGCTGAATGTCATATTGCAGCATATGTAGAGCTTTCCCAGGCATTGCTGGAGTGAACTGCTTGAAGCAAAGAAATCCTATTCAATGTATTCAGAGCACATCACAATGCTGGGGAGCTGCAAAGCACTGAATATCTCAACTCACGGACTTGAATATAGTATCTATCTCCTCTTGTGCTCCATTATCCAGAAAATCTCATGAGCAAGATATTTTTCTCAGCTGTGCTTTTTTCCTTCAGCAGTCAGGCATGAATAAGATGTGAATACTCACCCAACCATGCATGCACTCTTCATCTGGATGGTGTCCATGAGACAGATGCCTCAGAAGTTCTTCTGGGTTCTACTTTTGATGCCAACAAAGACCTTTTGCCTTGGGCACATCACTTGAAAACTTAAGGAAACAAGGTTTGTGAAGTGCCTTCAATATACACCTAATAAAAGCAGTGATGCACTGAAACTCCAGCTGCTGGTTCCAATTGGTGTGAATTAGACACTGAAATTTCAATACATCAACAGAAATAAAGGAAACAAATACAGGAAGGAAAAAGCCTCAGGGTTACATCTCCTCTGCGTACCTAATGAAAAGTATAAAAGGTATCTGGGGTGATATAAAGATGAAACTTTATTGTATTTTGCTTTACTTTTACTTACCAGGTCAGCACTGTTGTCTGCATTTTCTGGTCTTGTAAGCTGTGAGTCCTTTTCTTCTTTCTTTTTTAACCTCACCCTAGCTTGATATTTTAAAGACTTGTTTTCATTCAAAAGCTTGTTCACTTGTTCCTGTAGTTTGATTTCAGATAGTTTCAGATTATAGACATGATGACAAGATTCTTCCAATTTTCTCCTAAGAAAGTCTTCAGTGTCCTGGGAGCACTGAAGCTGAGCCAGCAGGTCTGCTCTTTCTCTTCTGTTGTCCTCCTCTTTATCCCTTAAGAACTTCAGATTTTTCTGAAATGACTCAAAGTGGCTTTTCATGTCATGCTCCACATTTCCAATGGAGTTTTTCAATTCTGTGAGTTGCATATTAGAAGGTTTACAGCTCTGCAGGCCTTTGGATGCTGATTCCAGCTTCTTCTGGAGACCCTGTGCCATTCCCTCTCCTAACTCAGACGTCAAAAGAGCAATATGGGCACTGAGATCTAGCACTTGCTTTTCCAGTCTAAACACCTCACCCTGTAGGTAACATTCCCTTTTTCTCAGCACTGCTGTCTGTTGCTTCTGCCTTTGTTTGTAGTGCTCAAAGTACTCAGATTGGCTTTTTAGTTCATTTTCTTTTGTCTTTAGCTGCTCCAGAAGCCAATGCAATTTCTCCTTTTGTTTCTTCTCTGACTTCTCTTGGTTTTCAACCTAAAATTTTAGTGATTTGTACAGTTAACAACTTCATATCAAATCTAATCTTCTCTTTTCTTTTTTTCTTAATTTTGCAATATTTTTACCCCTTTTTTCCCCTGAAAACTCAGGGGAAATATAGGAAATAGGAAAAAAACATAACAAGAAAAACACCTCAAATCAAAAACTACCCACTTTTTTTTTTGCATGTTCTACAAGAACTGTTAAATAAAAAGCAACTTTGAACTGAAATGCATACAACCAGCTCTGAACAACACAGTAACATATCCCATACACTGATATTGGTATGACACTGAGATGTTACAGACAGAGAAGTCATGGTTCTATAGAATAAAAGAGAACACACACTTTTATAAGAAACAAAGTTTTTGCCCTTTGCCCTTCCCCATACCTGTCATCTGTCAGATCCTTTTATGAGCCCATGGTAAAAGAAGAAAGGAACAGATGCCTTTTGAATCAGTTTCAGAAAGACTTTAGTATTTTGGTTTGCATCAAACTGTGCTTGAACACAGAGACACAGAAAGGTGAAAAAGGTCAATGGAAGGCGGAGAATGCTTTCGTGATTCACATGCTGCCCTTGTTTAGAGCCACCAGTATCACACTGTCATTATGACAACATTTAAGTAAAACTGAGGCATTGAGACATTGCTGTATTCCCTGCAGCTGAGCAGCTGAATTTTGTACAGAAAACAGGTTGTCATGGTTGCGTTGTGCTGCTGTGTAATGGATGGTGGGGATTAAAAATGATTTAATGTGGGGCCAGAAGAATAAAGCCTAATTTGTGGAAAAAGAATGTGTTGTCTTGGGAGCAGGTATCCCAAAGTTCAATGGCTCAAATGGCAGCAGTAACAGTTGTTTTTTTTTGTTTTTGACAGTGCTGTCAAAAAAATTGGAGAAATAGAAAGTGAGGCACAGAGAGAAAATAATTCTTCTGATTCCCCTGGTTTTACAAAAAAAAAAAAAAAAAAAAAAAAAAAAAAAGAAAGCCTGAAATGATGTATTGTGTGAAAACAGGTCACTCGAGAGGAGACTGACTTATAAACTACTGCCTTAAAAAGAACTTGAACTAGGTCATTTGAAACAATATCCTCCTTACCAAGCTCAGCAGCTCTTCCCAAACTTCTCGCAGTTTCCCTTTAACACGCACATTTGCATTTTCAAAATGGTGCACTTTCATGTTTAGTTGATCAATCATTACAAGAAGTGTTTTGTGTGACAGCTCCAGCTCTTTCATCCTGTTATATTGAAAATGAAGATCTTTGCTGAGTAAGTGGTGTAGTCCAGATGGATAAGCTGTCATCATCAATATATTGATGATGGGGCAGAATGGCGAGGCCGGACTCTTTTCAGTGGTGAGTGGAGACAGGACAAGGGGAAACGGCCGGAAACTGCAGCATAGGAAGTTCTGCACAAATGTGTGCAAGAACTTCTTTACAGTGAGGTGACGGAGCACTGGAACAGGCTGCCCAGGGAGGTGGTGGAGTCTCCTTCTCTGGAGATGTTCAAGACCTGCCTGGATGCCTACCTGTGCGACCTGCTGTAGGGAACCTGCTTTGGCAGGGGGGTTGGACTCGATGATCTCTGGAGGTCCCTTCCAACCCCTACAGTTCTGTGATTCTGTGATATCAATTTATTTTTTTCCCCCATTTTTCTCTCAGCAATAAGATAGCTTTTTTGATTGCTACAAATAAACATCATCAAAAAGAGTCTACTGGGGTTTGCAAGTTTCTCTGGAGACTGTCAAAGATGTTAAAGACAATGTTGGTGTTCATTCTTTCTCGGCACGTTTAGCATAAAAACCATAAATAATCACATTAATGGAGATAATGTTGACTGATGTTTTCTGTGTTATGCAAAGTAAACACCGTAAAGATAACCACAGCTCTGGTCTTTACACCTATCCAGTCACTGGGTTTTGCTAGATTCATGGCTAGGAAATTTGGATTTTATTATCCATTTAATTCTCTAGCTTTGTTAAGAATAGTGCAATTGCAAGGCACCACTTGATCTTATTCTAGTCAACTACATAATTAATGCTTATTTAGCTACAGCAATGATTAGCATTAACATACTAAGCTACATGCATCTGTCAGAAACTGTAATTTTTTTATATAATAGCACAAAACTTTAAATTTAAATATAAGTGTATCTTTCTGCTCCAAAATTAACTTTTAAAACTTCTTAAAAGTGATATAATCTGCAAGCAGAATTTACACCTTATGAATATTTAAGGATGAAGTATCCTGAGAAAGCTGTCTGGTTACAGAGTCTACATCAAGATACAAAACTGATTAAAATAATAGAAGCAAAAATTTGAGTAGTGTATTTCTATTCTGAAAGCTACACAAAACATTCAGAAACTCATTTTATTAGCCATTCCAAAGATTCTTAGAGCTTATTTGCTAATTTTGCACATATTTCTTGATGCCCTCTACATGCAAAAAAAAAAAAAAAAAAAAAAAAAAAAAAAAAAAGTTATTTACCTATTTCTTAGCACAGAATCTGACTCCATGTAGTCCTCTAAAGTGTGTTTCAGTTTTTGCTCCAATTTCTCCAGCTCTTTTATTCTGAGGTTCAAATTCTCTTGTCCAGCACTTCTTTCTTGCTCATCAGGTATGCTTGCATCTTCTAAATCCTGGGAAATCCAAGAACTATCGATGTTAACATTAAAATGCAGAACATCAAATCCTTCATCACTGAGCATTTTAATACAGTAACAAAATTCTTGTTCTCTAGCAGTTGAAGGATCTGTGATGAAAATAATCATTGAAGTTCTCATGTACTGCAGTCTGAGTATGCAATAAGAGGCTAAGCCTCCCTAAAGATCAAATTAACAGTCCTCAGTTCTGAAAACATATATTATTTATAAGAGAGTCTTATTTCACTAACCTCAAAGTAATTCAGCATGGACGAAAGGAGTTGCAGATCTTTATAAAAAGTACAACTACATTAATTCAGGAAGGCATTAGGTATCAAACTTTTGAAATGGGGATTGTTTTCTACTAAATAGAGCAGCTGATAACATGGAGCACTTATATAACAAAGGACATTTTTTTGGAAAAATCTTTGATATTTTTATTATTTTAAGACAAAAGATTAATGCCTAAAAAGGAACCTTCAAACTTGAGCTTTCAAAGTCTGTTTATTTCCATTGCCTCCTTCAGCAACAGCTCTAAAAGTTCCTCAGTCCACAGTTCAGCTTCATTTACACGATCTGTTCTCAGTAAAGAACAATCCTAAAACTGATACCTGGGAAATGCCACAGCTTTCATTCTGTGAACCAATTTTTACTGATTTGAAATTGGACCTGTAATAGTAAGGCATATACTGGCATTTGAACTTCTCAACGAAATAATGCAATTAATTTTTTGTGTATGTTTTATTGCTTGCTTTCGTATTTTGTTTTTTTTTTTCTTTCAAATGCTGCACTGAGGAAAAAAAAAAAAAAAAAGTACCATTTACTTTTGGCACTGAAGAAAAGAAAATAGGACCAAATTGGTGCAAAAAGAATAAACAGCTTTATTATTGTCCACATTTTCATGTGAGTTATCCACATATGTGGTGAATTACAGAAAGTGGTGTTATTTTGCTATTGTATTACTCTCTGGCTTTATGTCAGCTACATAAAGACTTAGACCTGAAAAGGTTCTGCCACTCCCCAGTCCTTTGAGAAACTATGATACCTAAAAGCTAGAAGCACAGAAAGGAAAATAAAGTGTAAATCCACACAGACAACAAAGTTCAAATCCCTTTGTCATCTCCTCTAGACTTACCAGCCCAAGTCTCTCCTCAGAGACCATGGGACCTGTAAATACAAACACCTTTTTTCCCTGGCACGTGGAACAGTATCTTTGCTTTGAGCTCCTTGAACCACTATCAAATTCTGTGCAAAAATTATTTGTGAAATGAACAAATATCTTGCTCTCCTACAATGGGCAACCCCACGTACTACTACATAAGAAATTTAAAGTAATTATGGACACAACTGCTCTGCATGTTAACATGTTAACATCAGAAGCTAAATTAATACGATTTTCAGCTCTGCCCCAGCCTGCTATCCAACTCATGAGCTGTAGAAGGAAGATTTCTCAGACATGCACTTTGCAGAAAGTAGCTACCAGATAAAAAAAGATAGATCAGGTGGGAATTAAACTCACACTTAATGTAGATATACAGATTTCTACTCACATTGTATTTTGTTACTCTTAAGTGGACTTTTATTCACTAGAATAAATATAATGAAAGTGAATACAATAATTTCTACAGTTGATTTTTATCTTCACGATCCAGGAGGCCTCTATATTTCTTATGCTTTGTTCTGAAAAGTACTTAGTACTGCAGCATAAAACCAGGAATTTGTTACTACTGATCTCAGAAATCAGAAAGTCTTTGTTTTCCCCTTTGCTCATATATCTGGGAGAGATGACTTAAAATCTGTCACAGAAAGTAAAAATCAGGTGTAGCATCTTTCATGGCCTGAGTACCTTAAGCCTCTTCTCATTTCTACGTTTGATATCAATGTGCAATGCATAGTAAGACTGAAATGATACACCCAGTTTTTCAGAAGCACAAACCTGTTACTTCAAGATAGGATAAAAGCATCGTAATGTCATATGGAAAATCTCACTCAAATCAGACAGGTTTTTTTGTTTTAGGAACTTGTCACACAAATTACAATTCAATAAAACACGTAAAAGTTAATAAAACCGATCGTACCTTTTCTGCTTTGTAACAAGACCATCTCCTGTCCTTGCAGAGCACTTAATGTTGCAGTCACGTGTTGAGTGATCATCTGTCTATGCTTCCAGTTTAATTTCCAAATAAGAGAGGAGCAAAGCTATGTCTGGTAGAACAGCGCTTCTTCCCCAAGTCAATCCAATCTCTTCCCAATTTCTGTCGCATCACCAGTTTCTGTTTTGGTTATCCAAAGCTCTGATTACAACTGTTATGGTCTCTCTTCAGAATAAAGAAAAAACTTTTCCTTTTGCAGTAAAGAGCTAATTTTTCCATATTCAGTTATTATAGTGCTAAAAAGTTTTAACTAAAATATGAAAAGTCTCTATTTGAAAACACATTTTGTGAAGGCTTGTTCCTTTTTGAACCAAACATTGTGAGCAACAGAATCTTTCTCTAAAAAAACCTCTAAAGTTTCTAACTTTTGTTGTGCTTTGTGCCTGGAAACAGGATTTGTCAGACACTCAAATCATCCCCAGTTCATGACATCTGACTGAAATAATGTTGTTGAGTGCTCCAGCTACTTCAGCAGATAAATCATCTTGGCTGGTGATTTTTCATCTCTGATGAAAAAAATCATACTTCAGAGCCTAAAAGATTTGAGAGAGCTGGCTTCTTCTGAAGCTGCTTCTTGCTCCTCCAAAAGGGAGATATTCAGTTGCTAAGATAAATCTGTTCTTTAATTGTGTTGCCTTGATGGTTCCTTGCCTTATTTTTTTTTTTAATTATAACTTTCACTTTATCCAATATATTACCATAACCACCTTATTCCGCTCTACTTTTGTGTTTGAGTTCAGCATGTCCATGGAAGCAGACCTGCCCCTCTGTCATTTTCAGCACAGTCCTTTTTAAAATAAAGATTTTCCATACAATTCTGAGGAGAAAGTTGTCTTTAAATGTTGTGCTTTTAATAATATTGTCAGCTTGCCTCTACATTCCAGAATAATCAAAATTACCTATTTCTTCACAATGTCCTTCCAGCCCTGAAAGAGCAAATTGGGTTTTTCTTTCAAGAAAAGAAAAACAACCTTCTTGAATTTTTCTTACGGTTCTCCATCTTAAACAACTGTTTTCAACTTCCATTTTTTTCAATCTGTGCTTCACAAGAAGTTTTTCTTGCAGTTCAGGTGGTTAATGTCCTTGACTGTGTATATCCAGCTCTGCTGGCTGCAATTGTGCCACTTTATCTTCCTGGTCGCTAATGTCAACTTTCTTTTGTGAGGATAAAATTTTCCCAGATATTTCTTTGCAAATGCTTATCTGTTTAGCACATTCATCTATACACCCATATCTTCAAGTCTTTCTTTCTTCCTAAGAGATAACTGAGGACAGCACACCGTGCATTCTGTTTTCCTGACCTCTCAGTCCATCTCGTGATCCTCCATTCTCCCAGGGTTATCTTCACAAATTATTTCTTAATTTTCTAGGAACGTTCAAAAATTCACTTCTGCCTTGCAGCTCTTACCCACTTCCAAGATCTTCTAGTCCAATCTAATACCCTGCCTTATCTCCAAACTCTACATCTTCTCCACTTGTGAATTTCCAACTTATGAATTGAATATGAATTTTGTCACTGCGGGGCTTTAAATCTCTCTTTGTTTTCAACACAGAACAGTTTTTGGTTTTTTTTCTCTTTTTTTTTTTTTTTTGCTTTTTTTTTTTTAACCTGTCAGATATTTACTACAGAGAATTTATTGTCAAACACTTATTTTTTTAATATGGATACTAAAAAGGAGATTTTGTGTTACCTGCGTGAAATGCAAACGACATTTGTTGAAAGCATGCAGTATGGAGACAAAGATCTCAGTACTGTAAGAAAACTATTTGGTAGAGAACAGTTCACATAGCATCCAGTAATTGCACTTGGCTTTTTTTCCAGTGTTTGATTGGTGTGTGAGTGTAAATTCTCTTTATACTTTTTTCAGTGTGTATGATGTGCTGGTCCTTATTTGTTTATCAAATCATTCCAGCCTCAAGCTATAGATTTAAAAAAAACTCTAATTGTAAGTTCAAATATTTTGCAGCTTCAAGTATTATGCAAACACTTTTATGAAAAAATGCACCAATTTAAAGCTGCTCAATAAATGTTTTCTATATTTTTGCATGTGGACTCAGCTGTTCACTCCATAGGTTCTTTTAATAACCTGGGTAATAAAAGAAAAAAAAAGAGAAGAAAAAATGTATTCTTAGCTTCAGATAGACAAAATTAATTTTGTAATAAATGTTGGCACTCACGCCCATCAAAAAGTCTTCCTAAAAGTTTAATGTTAGCTTCAAAATAACAAGAACAAAACTGCCATTAGCAAACAAACCAGTTTGACTAGCAATATGGAAGAATGTCTAAGAGTCTCACCAACAAGAAACCATAGCTAGGTTTCTTAAAATGGTCTTTGCTGTGTTACGTTATTCAGGGATAGATTCACTGCTGGCAAAACAAATTAAAGGAAATTGTCTTCCACACTAGAGTTTTGATATGCCATGAACCCCTGGAAATCTGGAGTGGCTCTATGACTGCACAGCCATGGTAAACAGGACATAATTCAGAACAGATTTCAAAGAAGGAAAAGATTTGAAAAACTGCAAAAGTGTCATAATTTTCAGTTTAAAAAAAAAAAAAAAAATCAGTGGTTTTATGTCATGGTTCTATGTTTTCTGTTTCTGTTTTTTGTTTTTGGATTTCAGTATTCCACATCAAAACATCATGTAGTGTACGGGGCATTAAAGTGTCACTGCCCCAATTCCAAGTACCTATCCCTGTACATTACAGCAGTCACGGGATCTGGCCCTTCCGGGTGGGGGGGGGCGCTCTCTTGCTGCCTGGCAGTGGGTGCTGGAGGGTGCTTTCCTGGCCGTTCCAAGCTTTTCAGGTTTGACTCGGTCCCGGGAACTCTCTCTCTCATCTTGTCTGATTTATTAATCTCAATTTCAATTAAATTGTACATATTGTGTTATCTTGTATTCCAATATTATAGTAAAATAAGTTTTCCTCCATAGATTGTTGCCGCTGCTCTTTTCCTCCCTTCCTTCCTTCCCATTTTTTGTGGGACTGGGGTGGGGGGAGAGGGCAGAGGCCCTGCCGCCCCTGTCACGGACATAGATTGGTCTGATCAACTCCGTGACAAAACCACATCTTAATCCTCTGTCACTGAGGCTGTGAAAAGGAGCAGGAAACTTACATTGCTCCATGGAAGTAGGACTGATTTTATTCTAATCTCTCTTTCTTGTTCTGTGTGAAAGGTAAGCCACTGTAGCTATAGTGCTGCTACAGCTAAAGAAATTCTCTCTGTCCTTTGCACTGTGAATGGGGCAGTGGGAATTACAGTTATGTCTAAAGAAAGACAGATTTCTTAGTCTCATCCTTACTGCGTTCACAAGCACAAAGAAGGTCAGTCATACTTCTTCCCATCATCTCATAATAGAAAATTGAGTTATTTATTTTTAATTTACTTTGTGGCTTCAAGGATTTTAAGAAAGTGAAATGAAACTTTTTGTATAGTTACAGGACTTTTAGAAAATACAACTGAAAACCAAACAAGACGGGAGACAGAATCTTACAGAAATAGTTGAACTTCAAGATTAAAATGTACCTGCTCTATAGAATTGAGAAGTACCCACTGCAGTTCAGACACTCAGTATCTTAGAATGCAAAACCAATTCTTGTTGAAAAAAGAATGATTTTCTGCAGAAGGCTAGGAAGTTAATAGAAGGCATCAATTTGGATCTTACAAGGGACTCTTCCTGTATGTGCAAGCAAAACCAGTAAATGCTTTCCCAGGGTTTCAAAGCCTTACAAAGATGATTCTAAAAACATACCAAAATACAAGAGCTAAAAATTGAGTACAAAACAACATAAAGAATACCAACCACATGTCTTGGCTCAGTTGTGTCATCAAGGCCACAGAATGAATGCTAGTGAAAAAAACAAAAAAAGGAACAAAAACTATAAAATAAGATCAAAAGAAAATGAGGAAAAAAGAAAAAGAAGAAGATGTAAGATATGTAATATGAAATCCAGTGACATAATTTAACAGCAGTTAATTTACATTAATACTAATTGATTGGGCCTGAAAGATCAGTATACAAATTTGACTCCGAAAAGAGGAAAGAGGGTGCAAAATTCGTTATCTTAGGATAGCTTTTGCAAACAGTAACATCTGTAGTTTATGTACAATTAAGAAAAATCAGGCTTAGCTCTGTGACTTAGTCAAGTATGTACTCATAATAACATGCCTGAAAGATTTCCTGCAAGAAAACTTACCCAGACATGGGTAAAAACTATATGCAACTTAAAGGCCAGAGACTCAGTTGTGAGAAAAGCTCAATGTGTTTAAACAACTCTTGCTCCTCATGCACTGGCAGGTAGAATGAAACTGAGACTTTACATTATTGTTCTGATAGCCTCTGGAAACAGGACAGTTTGCTGAAGAATCTACAGGGTAAAAATACTGCCATTCTTATCTTCTCATTTGAAAGCATTTTACGTTATACTTAAAAATTGAATAAATTCCTGAGGGAAAATAAAAATTCATACTAATGAAGAAGTAACTATAAGCAACGTGCTGCCCATAGCTCCAGCCAGTAACTGGGCTCCATTATCAAAATGGCCCTTCCTTCAAAAGAAAGAATTTCCCTCCACAGGAAGTCATCGTGCTCAGTGTCAGTGTCATGTAAATGTCATTCTCCTTTCACTTACATTTTAAGCCTTAAAAAGAGCAATGAGGTAGAAGTGTATCATTCATTGATTTCCTGACAATACAAATTTCTTTCAGGCATTCAAATTCTGAATGAGACTTCATTTCAAGAAAAAACTGAAAAGGTAATATATATAGAAGGAAACCCTGCACTTATCTAGGAGTAGAAGATGAAACCTTGAGAGGTCTCCTACGAACATAGCCTCTTCTGTCAAATAAACAAATCATAATGCTGTTATTTGACTTAAAATACAGGAAAAAAATCCTCCTTGTTTTAGTCTAATGACTTCCCTACTTGACAGAAAAACCCAAACAGCAGATGATCATGAGTTTATGAGGGACAGAGCTTTGTTTATTGCAATAAGGACTTGAACTAAAATTTGATCCTTCTTGTATTAAAATAGATCTCTCAAGAGTAGGTTAAATCCTATTACCATCAGTGTAACTGGGAAAAATCAGTACGTGAAGGAAAATCATTGTTATTGACCAGGTTTACCTTTTCCTCAATTTCTTTGAGTTGCCTTTTTTGAAGTTCTATTTTATCTTCTAGTTCTCGAATCCTCTGGAACAAAAAAAAGTTAAATAGATCTTATAGTATCTACTTTGGAAAGCATGTGAATCAAAAATATGTTAAATAGCTTAAACACAAGAATAAATACCCTTTATTAATGTAGCACTTCCTGCTCAGTTATACTAGCCGTGCAGATGTCAGGATTGTTCCACATTTCCATAAAACAGGATTTTAAACAAGCTGTGTCTTCATATAATCTTGTTTACCACCAGGTTGTCTAAAATCACCACTCATAAATCATACTTTTAAGATACATATAGAGATAAGGCCAGTTAGCACCAAAATTCCAAGAAGTACAACAAGACTGCTTTCTCTGTAACTGCCAGAAGGTTTTTTTTTTTACTTACCTACAGAGTCAGCTTATGACACTGTTATATTTTAACACTCCACTTTCCTTTCCTGTAAAACATGACTATGCTTCTGAGATATTTCTGCTATACCAGAAAAAATAAGCATGCTTAGACTTTCATTTCACCACCAAGATGCCGTTCTGACATTCAAACCCTTTATTATGATGACCCTCTCCCACCAGCATCAGAGAGGATATCTCCACTACAGCTCTAACTTCAAGAACCTTACTTGTTCAAAGCATCTCCAAAAATATGATTGTTGTTGGGTCCACGCATCTGACCTTATTTCTGCTCCCCTTTCCTTTCTGTAAGTTCCCTATTTTTTTTCTTTTTTTTAATAATAAGTTTACTGGGCTTTTAGATTAAGAGGATGCATTTTATTAGTACGTTTAGTATATAGTAGACTTTATAAAGTTCATGAACTCTTTTTACAGGTAGAAATCTGGGATCTCCTACTAACAGTTTCTGGGAATGAAGGAGCAACTTTTTAAATTATCAGCTCTTTGGAATTAACTGCCTGACCTCTCTGTGGCCTATAAAAATGAAGGTTATTAGCAGTTCCTGAACTTTGAAAGGAAAATTATCTTCCGGTCTAATTTCTGTGCACACGTTAATGAATTGAACGTAGGAGCTGCTGCACCACTCCCAAATTATTTTATTATTATTTTATTATTTTATCCATTTGAACAGTGTATCTTTCAGAAAAGCAACTAGTCAGTACTTATACGTCAGTGAGATCAAATGAAGGTTTGACTCATTCATCTGCTTTCAACTCAAGGACTTCCAATGGTGGGAAATGCCTGACCCTCACAGCAGCCCACAACATTGCTAGCAGCAGCAACTGATCCCAATACTATTCAGTATTGCTTTAGGAACCACAACGCCTAGGGTTTAACCTTTTGAATCTAACCTGGAGATATCCCAAAAGATGAGGTACATCCACCCCACAGCTCAGCATGCCCACAGCTGTTGCCATAAAAATATTGCAGGCAGGTTGCAAACAATAATCTTGATATTACTGCTGCTTTTTTAAAGAAAAGACTTTGTTTCAATGATTGTTTTGAACACTGTGTAGTTGGATTAAGTTAATCAAAACCCTCCCACCATAACATGCCACATCACTCAGAGATTTCCCCAGATAATATAAATGCACAAACCAGATTGCCCTCACGTGACATAAGTGCATGAAGCTTTGCTGACAATAACAAATGCCTGGTGAACAGCTGTATTAATTTCACTTTTCCTCTATTACCTTTGAATTGATTTATACTTCATCTGCTCTCGGCTCACAGCATTTCTATCACTCAAGCAATCGCTTTCATATACTGTATGTAGCAGGAATATTACAAACCTGTGAGAAGCCACAGGATATGAACTATGTAGATGTAATCATCTCTGAGTTCTCTGCTCTATCAGCTCACACTCATATTTCTCTCCCACTAATTTCAGTTCTGCTGATTCCTATTTACATCTGCATCCCAGACCTGAGTGATAGAATTCAACTCTGGGGGTGATGCCATGCTCTGTGATAAAATCAGACTGCAGGGAGTTGAGTGGAAAGAAGCAATAACTTTAAATGCTGTTTTCACCTTCAGGATTCATTGTGCAAGATGTTTTTTCAATGTGTGTGGAGAACTATCCTTCCGAAAAAGTAAGAACACTAAACAACCCCAAACATCTGGGGTTTTTCTCACCTCGGGGTTTGGAGCAAGTTCTCTTTTATATAAGAACATTTTAATTAGATAGCATTTTTCAGATTTCTGTTAATTAAGTAAAAATTGAGATGTTATTATTCCCTCATGAATTTTTAATCTTTTCAGAAGATTACAGCTATTCAGTTATTCTCTCCAGTTATTTGGAATACTTCTAAAAATGAAGGCTGAGTTTTCTGTTTTGCAGTTCTCACCTACAACCCATCGTAACTGTTAAGCTTGGTGTGACATTAGAGGTGGGTGAAAAGAGTCTTAGGGTGAAAAAAATTATGCGTTCCTAAGAATCAGTTTAAATACCAAGACAACCTATAAATTAAAAAGGAATACATACAGGGCTGCATTTCATATGCGTGAAAATCTGTTTACAGAAAATCTTCGAAATGACAAGATGTGTGTCAGTAGGGCAGACATAAACAGAGTGAATACTGCCTGTAGGGCAGATGTTTCTATATATACACAAACATATACACATATATGTCTATTAAGAGACCTGTTCCAAGTTTGCCACTTAAAAATGACATGCTGAAGTAAGAATACAAATGTTTAAATAGCCGTCATTCTCTTTACATGAATGGAAAAGGCAATGGCAATAGAACACAGAAGACTTAAACTTCAATCGAGTAATATACTGTACCTTTGCTACAAGAACTAGAGTTCAAACCTACAGGACAGAATTTGTTCTAAAAAGCAACAGTAGGCTGGAATTTTCCACCACTGTATAAAAGCTTGGTGCTGTTTATTTGCACGTATTTGCTCGTGTTGCCCTGGAGTATGGCAGGAGGATTATCCAGGGGGATGAAGTGGGTGTCACTATTGCAGTCAACATCCCGTGACTGCACAGGGTCAGTCCAGCTCAGCTATTTACGTATCCTGAAATATCTTGTTCAATTCATTACCTATTTCCACGTAATTCAAAAGATGCCTTTAAAAATACAGAAATAATTTTGCAACAGGAAAAAAACCACAACAAAATTAACACAGAGATTTAAATTCACGTAGAGTAGCTAACACATCAAAATAAACGTATTTTCCCCTTGTGCATATATCTGCATTTATAGCATTATCTTGACCATAGTGAGATAATAATTTGCAGAATATGACTTCAAAAATACACGTAACATACATAAAATAAAAATAGCTTAAATAAGAGTATCTTCTAGAAACACCAACTTGTGTTCTTCAGTCACGAGCTATAGTAAACCACTGAGAAAGAAAATACAGAAAAAATTACACATCCTAATTAAGACTGAAGTCAGAACTTCTTGATATTCAGTACAAATGCTTACATCTTTATCAACTCTTCCTTTTATTTGCAAGTGTTTGCAATCAAGACTCTGTGGACTCACTCTCAGATCCTCACAGCACTTGATCAGTTGCTTTCAATGAACTCTGATTTGTTTATGTTTGCAAAGCACAGTTGTAACAACAAATCATGCAGAAATATTTTATTGTTATCAGGATTTTCCATCTACTATCATGCTATAGCTTTAAGTTGATGATAAGTCAAGATTTCCTACTGTGTCTTATGGAGGTATAAATATTTCAATACAATGATACCTTTGGCTTTGTGCTTGAACAAGGCAGTTTAAAAACAGTGTAATTTCTACAGAACAGCAGACTGTGTGAAGAACCAGTAAAATCTATGGTACAGTGCTGTTAAAACACTAAGACGTCTTGGTTGAGAAGATACCTACAAATTGTTCTTTTGCTTATTTTCATTATTTTAGAAGGGGGTGGAAGACAAGGGTGGACAATCTGAAAGCAGGACAGTAATTATGTTTCCATGAAAAGCCTTGGTATTGGCCTCAATCAGAGTAGGCATGAGGGACAGAACAAAGTAGTGTTCAAGCTGGGCTCCAGCAGCTCCTATGTTACTACAGTCAGTAGCTGCCCATTAGCCCCGTGAATGCTTTCTGGGACTAGCAGGGTTCCTGAGAATAACACTGTGTTGTCAAATCACAAGGCCAGACAAAGGAGCTGCTTTGGCAAACAAAAAGCTGAAAAGAAACAGCACAATGAGAATATAACCATAAAAAAGAAGAGGATTGTGCTAGGGTATGGGTCCTTAATACTATGCTCCACACCTGCATTCACAACCAATCTACCAAAATACTGAATACAGATCTGCCATTCAACCTGCAATAGCAAATAAAAAACTCACAAAACTTCAGGATGATGGATGGGCAGATTTGTGAATAGTCTGTTACCACTTCACCTGCATGTATGTCTTCCAAGCATCCATTTTAGTACAGAAAAAAAACTACTTGATAAATCATAGTTCCACCAGCAGTTTCTTGCCACTGCTCTTCAGGGTCCTGCGAGCAGCCAAAGGGGCTGCCAGCCTGCTGCCATCCCAAGGTAACAGCAGATGGCTCTACCAGCCAAGCTATGCTGCAATAGTAGAACTGCTCGGTCAGCAGCCAGGCTCCTCCTGGAAATCCTTTCGCATTTCCAGTCAGACACAGAAAAAACATGCTGAAGATGTGCAATATGCGCCTTATTACTTAACTGCAATTTGAACAGACATTTAAGATCCATTATAAATTATTTTTTAGTAGTAGTTTGGCAAAGGAAGGTGGCACTCAGTCCCGTGGCATTCACCCTGATAAACTAATGGTAAGCTAAGAGAAAGAACATCCAGAAGGCTAAGGCACCTAAAGCATAAATATTATTTGAAGACAATAGTTAAGTGGTAGGCATATGACGGAAACTTTGCTCAAGTACCAAACACTCAGGGCTGTCAAACTGCCTAAAAGAAGCAAATTGAGTATTTTTCCCAATCATAAGATTCTTAACATGTGTATTTCTTTTAAATGCACATAACCATCATTTTTTTTCACCTCATGGTGGAAAGTCCATCTTTCTGGGAAACAAGATGCACTTCTTGAATGCAGTTATTTACTTAAGTAGTTATTTCACTTTGGTTAAT